AGAAGAAACCTTCATGATATCAATGGTAAGAGCTAAAATTATCGCTCTTGGAAGAAAGCATAGAAGAAAAGCTTCCTGATATCAGACTTAGATTTCTCTTATATGTAAGCAAAAGCACAGAAAATGAAAAATATAACTAAACAGGGCTATATTAAAATATTTATTCATTAAGTATTCAACCAAGTGAAAAGATAATACAGAGAATGTGAGACAACTTTAGCAAATCGTACACTGGATAAGGATGGTATGCAAATATAAAAAATTATCACCGAATAGCAGAAAAACAAATGAAAGAACTTCATTAAAAATGGGCAATGGACTTGAATAGACATTTCTCCAGAAAAGATATACAAGTGTCCAGGAATCTGATGAAAAGATGTCTATATCACTAATCACTAGGGAAATGCAAGTCAAGACCATTGTAAGATACTACTTCATACCTGTCAGGATGATTACTATAAAAACTACAAACAAACAAAAAATCTCCTAGAAAATAACACATTGATGAAGATGTGAAGAAACTGGGGCACATGCTTTGCTGATGGCAAATGCAAAGTTTTATAGACACGTGGCAAAATAGGTGGCAGTTCCTTCACAAATTAGAACTACTATGTGTTTCAACAATTTCTTATGGCTATACATACGCCCTAAACAAATGCTAGTAGGAAATCGAACAGGTATTTGTTCAGCCATACTCATAAGTAGCATTATTCATTGCAGCTCAAAGCTAAAAATGCCTGAGTATCCGTAGATATACACATGTGAGATATGTGTATACTTACACATATATACATCGATGTATACATATACATACAAATATATGTATACATATATATACACATACATATATCTTATTTAACCTCTGAAAGGGATGTTGATCTATACTACAGCATAGGTCAACCTTAAAGACATGGTGGCAAGTAAAAAGCACATCACAAAAGAGTAATCACCAGAGCAAACACTCTTGTGCGCAAACACTGTTCTACTTGTACAGTTGTCTAGTGTAGTCAAATTCATTGACACAGAAGCTAGAATGTAGGTTACAGGGATTTGGGGTAGGAAGGAATGAAGAAATAATGTTTAATGAATAAAAAGTTTCATTTTGGGGACAAGAGAAACATTCTAAGATGAGCGGTGGTGATGGCTAACCAACAACACGAGTATACTACATACCACAGGACTCTGCGTATAAGTGAGGGAGATGGTAAGATTTATGTAATGTGTATGGAGCCTAGTATAAAAAACCTTAAGATTGTTATGGAAAGACAGCTGTTCTTCATTGAACTTTTAGGAGAAAGAGATGTATGCATTATTAATTTGGGCCCAGGCAAAACTGTGAGATAAATGTGCTTTGAATTCAATATTTTCTACTTCATGCCTCTCATTTCTGTATTTTTTCCTAGTTCTTACATCATGCACTGACTTCTAAGGACTTTCTGTTGTGATCATTCATCCAGACCATAGTTTCCTGAGTTGTTCTTGGGTTCTCATTACCTGAGGTTTTTTTTTTTTGAGACAGTGTTTCACTATGTAATTCAGGCTGGCTTTGAACTCACTTTGTAGCCCAGGTTGGACTTAAACTTGCAGCAGTCCTCCTGCCTCAGCCTCCCGAGTGCTGGGATTACAGGTGTACGCCACCACGCCTGGTCATGAGTTTCTTCACTGTTTTCAAAATTTAAACTTTTTCCTTCCAATTCCCTCTGAAGTGTGCCCGAGTAGCTGTTACTTTGGGGTGTAATTTAAGGGTTTTCTTTCTGCTGTGGTATGTGAGATTGAGTCTGTGAGACATTCTTCAGTGACTTTTTAAATGGGAGAATCTGGCACTGTGGAAGCCAATCAGGAGGATAATTGTGCCTTCCAAGCAAACTGCAAAACAAAAAGTAGAGGCCCTTTGCCTCTTTGTCTACAGTAGGCCTGAACTTAGGGGTCATATAATTGAAAACAAAATGAAGATTTTTATAGTCTGAAAAAGCACAGGAACTCGGATGCTGGTGATAACTTTCCGTATTCCACTTCTCATTATATTCTCCGTTAGTCCACGCCAGTGGCTATAGGGGCAGCAATCTATATGGTGACAAATTTTATCACAGCAAATAGTTTCAGATTTTACTGTGGCTGTGTGGCATGTGAGATTAAAAAGTGACCCAAGCAAGTTATTCAAGTGATTTTAAAATGTGCACTTCTATAGCGGGGAAAAATGAATCCGTAGAAAAATTCCTGATGCATCTTTGAATATTTCAGCAGTTCAAGATTGCTTTTTAATACAAAATTAGTTGAAAATGTGTGCTGATTAGATTCACTGTATAACAAAAAAGAACCCCCGTTGGACTATTCAGAGGGAAAAATGTTTTATTTGTTGGTTTTTCTGGCTAGAGCACTTCCAGAAATCATCATCATTAACCGGTATATTAAAGAGGATGAAGAACATTGCAAACAGAGATCAGCTGAGCAACTGTGCTGCAAAGTAATTTCTTAGTATATAAGACCCATTTATCACCAGAGGAGAATGTGTGTACGTTTTATTCGTGTGACTGTGGAGATATGCCGGTAAAATAATTCAGAGTATTTTGTGATCAGAGAGCCTTATAAAATTGCTGGGGATGAAAACTTGAAAAGGAATATATTCATGTAGATACACATATAACCAACCATAACCAATCGAATAACCCACAAAACCACAGCCATGCACCGCTTAGTGACAAGGACACAGTGTGATAAATGCATTTCGAGGCAATTTCATCATTATGTGAACATCTGACACAAATCTAGATAGTGTAGCCTACTACACATCTGTATCTTCCTTCACTGAATCATTGTTTTGCATTGCATGCCTATATGTATAAATATATATATATATATAAATGTATGTGTGTGTACGTGTGTACATGTATGTGTCAGACACACACTCATACAAGTGACTATACAATATAGTCATTTTTTTATTTACCCAGATTCCCAGGATAGATAACTAGAAGCTACAAAATAATTAGAACATCCCAGTCACTCTTAACTATTTCAAAGATTTTATGGAAATTGCAAATTTAACCATAGCATGATTTATAGACTAAAAGAATTCCTTTGCTTTTGGATAGAATGATGTCAACTGTGTAAAGATTAGTTTCCTTAGGCTTGCTATACTCTCTGATAGACCTTTAATTCTTTATTGACAAAAATGGGACAGTGAATTAAAATTTAAACCCACAGCAGATCTTTCAGAGCTGCAGTTTAGAGTTAAAACAAAATAAAACTGGCTTCCAATCTTAACTTTAGCACTCACTAGCTGTTCCTCCTTGCACAAGTAACTTAATATCTGTAAGACATTGTTTAAGTTTCATACATGTTTAAAATGGAAGAAAATACTTGCTTCATGGTGTTGTAAATAATAAATTATAGACTGTGGAATGCCTAGCACAGACAAGTCACCTTAATAAATTGTAACAATAAGGATTCTTCTTATTATTATTACAGAATATCACTGGTTGGAAAAACCTTGTAAAATAATAAATCTAGAAATAAAATTGGTAAAATAGCCAGGAATGATGGTAGAAATTTATAGTCCCAGCACTCGGGAGGCTGAGGCAGGAGGATCACCATGAGTTTGAAACCAGCCAGGGCTACAAAGTGAGTGCAAGGTCAGCCTGAATGGCATAGTGACACCCTGTCTGAAAAATTATTCAAATGTGAAGGGGAGCAAGGAATGGGGGAAGAGGAAAAGAAGGAAGGGAAAAGATAAAAAAGAGAATAAAAGGAAGAAAATGGAAACAAAGCTTTGTAAATAAGGAGGGGTAGAAGGGCTGAAGGGAAGAGAGAGGGTCAGGAACAAAGGATCAAGAAATATCATGTATGGATTCAGACTTCCTCTAATGAATGTGATCATTATATATCTCTGAAATGTACCAATAAAATTAATTTTAAAAAATATGGAGAAAAGCAGACCACTTGGTAATAAGACAGGCTTAGTCGATGTTGTCTAAAAGTGACCTTTCTAAATCAGCTTTCAATTTTCATGATGAAACTGCACTGGATACGGTACTTTTATTAAATAGTATTGTATCAGAAAAGATGATTAAATAAAAATCGTGTTCCTGTGACTGGGTTGCTGGGCACATGTTAGCCAGCACGTTTACCTCTTCTAAGGTTCATGCAACTAGGTAGGGAAGAAAAGAACTTGTCTAAAGGCAAATAAGGGGGGGGACTCTTTGCAATTGAGAGCATTTATTTTTGGAATGTGACATTTGAAGATATAGGATAATGGAGTAAAGCAGGCATGGTTAGTTATTGGGAACAAGCAGGTGCTGAAATCCACTGCTCCTTCCAAGCTTGTAGGGTCAATTGTATCCAAAGGAAAAAAAAAAGCCAGAATGCCTCTGCTGAGAAAAAAGCACCAAGCTTTTTCCCAGTGCTGAGATTCAACAGAGAGGTGTTATGCTTCATTCCAGCAGCTGATCCCATGGGTGGCTGTCAGAGGGCTATCTGTGGTTTGTCTCCCAGACCTATAATTCTGATATCATAGAGTGGCAGGAAGATCAATGCTGAGTTGAAAACGTAACTTTAAGAATAATCCCTTATTTTCCATGGTGCTTAAGAGTTTTGACATATTTTTATTCACCTAATGTCATTAGATCCTCATCGCAGTTATTTGAGGGAGATTATTCTGAACTTGCAAGTGAAAAAAAGGTCTTGTTCTGGTTGAATAGTGTAGTGAAGGTACCCAGTTACCAAGAGTCCAAATCAGGTTTAGGTCCTCCATCACCTGAACAAGTGCAACACTCTTTCTATTTGAACAGAGTTTTTTTCTGCATGGTAATGTATGAGAATATCACACGTAGCAAAGCTTTGTATTGAGAACATAGACTTAAAATTGTGAAAAATAATCCTTGCGTTCATCTGTATTTGTCATTTGTTGCTAACCTTTCTTTTTCTCCTATTGTCTTATTTCTCCTATTGCCTTATTTCAAACGTGAAGGTGAAAGCTAATCTTGTTCTTGTTTTCTCATTAGGCTCCAACTACGAAAGGTGTGACTTTGAGGAAGGCTTCTGTGGTATGGAACAAGATCAAAGCCCGCAACTTGGTTGGACAAAGAGAAGTGGGATGACTGGCGTATCGCCCCCGTTTCGTGATCACAACGGGAATATGTCTGGTCAGTGTCCTGACATTATATCCTTGTTTCATTCTGTCATTTTTTTCATCTATCCATTCCTTCCATTTTTTCTCTAAGTATTTGATTAGGGAAGTATATTCATATCTGCTATTTACATATCAATAGCTATAATGTCTACTTCTATGTATTCTTTAAACATTTTTTCAAAAGTTGCCGATTCTAAAATATTGCATCACATTCTCATGGTTAGATTCCTTGGACCCCAACAGATCTCTATAGATACTAATAGATAATTTTCTAGTTCTTTTGACTCTGGGAAAAGTGTAGAATGTAATCCGGATAATATGACATAGATTAATTAGGCAGTCAGATTTCCTTGCTTTTGGTGGGGCTGATTTCAGCTGTGTCTAGGAGCACTTGTTTAATCAGACTGTCTACAGAGCTTTAAGGGCTGCTTACTCGGGGGGGGGGGTGAGACTTTCATTCCTTTCTTCACTTATTAACTAATGAACTTCAGTCACTCAACATTTGTACCACGCCATTAATTTATATGTGTGAGCAGAAATCAAGCCCATCTCTATCTTCCTCTGATAAGGTTTCACACAATGCCAAGGGAGGTGGTGTTGTGGCATAAATAAAGGTTGGTTATTTTTGAGAGAGTGCTGCTTCCTTCAGACAGATGCTATGAAATATTGAAATGTGGTTATTGCCCTGGGGATCATTTAAAGCAAGCCGATGTTTAGGTATTAAGTGATAATTTGGAAATGTTTGCATGAATATTGCACATGTGATTTTGAATCTTGGGGTTGTCATTCCCTGGTTCTCAGTTCTTGCAAAATTGACTTCATTGAGTCTTAGTTTGCTAAATTTAGGAAGGGGAATAATGGTGCTAGTTTATAGGAGTCGGTTGCTTTAAGAGCTACATGAGATATTTTTCATAAAGCTTATCTTAGGATACTTGTCACTCAAAAAAGATGTTCAGTTCATTGCTGAGTAATTAGTGTTGATTTTAACTTCTATACACATGATATGGAGTCTTATTGTGTTTATCTTTGATGCAAAAATATTGTTGCCCAAAATTCTTTATAATTGTTAGGAATAAGCCAAGTTTATCACAAAAAGAAACCTGTTTCACAAAGTGGACCGATCACTAACTGCAATACAAGAAGGCATTTTACTTAGTTATGGTAGGTGGTGGTACTGAATTTTTCTGTCAACCTTTAGCCATTGTAATGTTCGGCAAACTGTTGACTCTATACCTCTCTAAGTATTCCCCACTTTCCAGAAACATCTTTCCCAGCATGCACCTGTTCACTCTACCCTTCTTATATGCAGAACATTTCCTACTTCTCCTCTTACAACTTATTCTCATCCTCTTGTTTGTCTTCTCTCCTTGGGCAAGCTCAGACGCTCTGCCATTGCGCTTCTTTCTTTCCTTTCCACTTTCTTTTTCCTTATTTTCCCATGCTTATGTTTTGGTAGACTAGTAAAGAGATAGATTGAATGCAGTTTGTGTAAAAATGAGATGTATAGATGTACATCATTTAATCATATTACGTGGGTTGGTTCCAAATCTTAGGAGTCAAACTAGATCTGTTCAAATCTTGGCCCACTGAAACAGACAGTTGTGTGGTGTCAACTTCCTCCCCTGTAAAATGAGATAATAACAATAAAAACTCCATGGGGAAAAGAGGCAGACTATTGACTGGTACTAGTAATCATAGGAGGGTGATTTTCACAGTAGTCTTATATAAATACAATTTATAAGTACATGCATCTTTTATAAATGCACTTAAATGTCTATTGTTAATACATGTCTTGCAAATACAATTAAATTATAGATATTCATTAGTAATGTATTTAAGTGATACAATATTCTGGCTTTAAAAATGTAGCTAGTTAAAATATTTATTTAAAAATGATCTTGGAATCGTCTTCATTTCAAAATCCTTATTTCATAAATATTAATAAATACTTTTAAAGTAGTTTTTGATTACCTTACTTTTGAAATGTTTGCTCGTCCTCCAAAATAAGATTTTTCATTATGTAATCAATGCTTTCAGTTTTCTGATCTAAGTTTGAAAGTCTGTTAGGACATTAAAAACATCACTCTTGTCTGTATTTGAAATCCAATAAAGCTCAGAGCTGAGAGAATAAAGTGTAATATTGATTGTTAAAAATATATAACATTTCTTTTGGTACTGTGGATTGAATCTAGGGCCTTTGCACTGAGCTATATCCATAGCTCTTTTAAATTTTTCAAAAATTTTAAGACAGGGTCTCACTGCCTCTAAATTATATAAACTGAGCTCAGATTTATAATTCTTTTGGTTCAACCTCTCTGGGTGCTTGGATTGCAGATATGGGCTACCATGCCTGGTGATTGTATTTGGATAAAATAATATCAAAACAAATTCAAATACATCTTTACAATGTATGATATGATAGTATGACTATTTTTTAAAAGGGAGCAAGAATATAGACTTTTAGATAACTCTGGAATTCAGTTGATGTAAAGATGATAAAAATGTTTCTCAGGTGTACAATTCACCTGAAATCTAAAAATGTATAGGCTATCAAAGATCAAAATAATTTATTTATACAGTTGATATGTCTTTTTATGCCATAAATTATTACTTTCTTGTTTGGGTACTTAAAATCACTTTTAACTTGAAATATTAGAGCTTTTGTTATTCTGATTAATTATTAAATTAGACCTAAAGTCTACATATTATATTATGAAACAGACATACTACTGAGCAGCCCTCAGTGTTTTAATTTTGTTCTGTAAGAATCATATACATTATATTTGCAATGTACATGGATTATAAATTCTATGAATCAATGTCATTTTTTGTTTTAAACAGTATTAAAACTAAAGCAGAAAGTAGTCTTATCTTATGATTATCTGAAATAGTCTTCATTCCTTCTAATTATCTGAGTTTGTCTGAGGTAGCATTTCCCTTCAGTTTGAAGAATTTCCTTAACTATATTTTGTATAGTTCTCTGGTGGTAAATTTTGTTAGGTTTTCTTCTCTGAAATGTTTCTATTTTTCCTTCATTCTCACAAGATATAGAATTATTTTCATTTTAGGGCTTTAAAGATACTTTCCCACTGTCTCCTGGCTTCCCTAGTTTCTGATGTGGTACCACGGTATTAAATTGTTGTTCTTGCTGTACATGACATATCTTTGATGTCCTGATGTAATCCAGATTTGATCTTTACCTTTGGTTTTCAGCATGCGATTTGAAGTTTATACCCTACCTGGGTGACCTAGCTTCTCAAACCTGAATGAATGTTTTTTTTATAATTTGAGGCAGTATTCAGACCTTGTTTATTTAGATATGATTTGTTCCTTCTTGCTATTCTTTTTTTCTTCTACTACAAGAGCTTGTTAGATGAGATAGCAACAAAAATTTTAAATTCATTTTCTTAGGTTTTCAGATTGAGTAATTTCAGTTTCTTTGATTGCTTTTTTTTTTTTACCATCTACATTGTGCTTGCAAAAGCATTCAGTGATTTAAAAAAAAATGATCACACTGTGTGTTATTTTTAATTTAAAAAAAAATGATCACACTGTGAAATTTTTAATCAGGTGTTTTGAATTTCCTCTGGTGAAGTTCACCTTTCTTATACATTATAAGCCTAGTTTTCTTACCTCGTTGTGCCAAATTATAATAGCAGTCTCAAGGTCTTTATTTGTCATCTAAGAGTTACCTTCTTTTGAGTGTTTTTTATCCACGATATGATCACATTGCCCTGAATTTTTGGTTGTATTCTTGACATTATGAATGTTGCGTTCATAAAGGCTCTGTATTCTGCACTCAGGATTGTTTTTTCAGAGAGTAGGATGATTTGTTTAAGCAGGTGATTAGCTTGCATGGAGTGAAGGTGCAAACACTATCTTGTTTATAGTGGGCAGTAGTTCAAGCAGCCATGCGGTTCTTTCAGAGGTGTCAGTAGTGATCCCTACACATGCATATTTTAGATTTAGCCAGAACCTTGCAGTGTTTGCTTATAGAATATGGGACACCCCTAGTCTTGCTTTCTTCTTTTTAGAATTCTTTTCTTTCCTGCTATATCTGTCTATTCCAAGCTCTCCTCTCTCGTTTCCAGCCAGCTGTCTTCCTAGCAGAGTTGCAGCTTTGTACACCAGCTGCAACCGCATCCTGGTCTCAGGACAAAGTCTGAAGGTGTCTAACTTACTCTGATTCCTTCCTCCAGTGTCTATTCCTTTAAAAACAAATACACTCCTTTTGTTTATCTTTAAGGGCTCCAGAGTCTGAGTCTTTACATTTTTCCTTAATGTTATCTATATGTTCATCACTGGTTTTCACTCCAGTGAAGATGAGCAGCTTCTAATTTGCTCTGTGCTGCTCTTTCTCAAGGATGCCAGAGCTGTAGTCCGTGCCTTAACAGCAGGCAGGCTGGATGATTTAGACAGAGTTGGATTTTTGAAAGGAATACTCAATGAAAGACTAAGGACAGCAAAAGGAATCCAGATTATCATTTTCTAGATCACAAATACTCAGCCTTTGTAGTCTGAATATGTTTATTTTAAATCAGGTAAAAATAAATGTTCACTTATTGCTTTCTGTATTTATTACTTCAAAAACTTACTGACATCTGCCTTTCTCCACATACTATTCTAGGATCAGAGGGTATAATGGTCAAGAAGAATACAGTTGTTTTCCCCAGTGAACTTTCAATCTAGCGGCAGGGATGTAAACCTATACTTACGGTTATATATGAAAACTAAAATCTCCTCACAGTCACCATGCTCATGGCTTGTGTACTATTTAAAACCTCACAATTTGACAAGCATAAAACCATGTGTGAATGTTCGTGTTTTGCCAGTATGGCTTGGGAGCATCTACATTGTTTTTAACTTGAGAAATTTTAAGAAGTGAGGTATGTACTTACTTTTATGAGAATTAGTTTTACGAACAGGAAGCTAGATCTTCTGCAAAATGGGAAGGGACCAAGAGGTGGAGGGAGGGGAAAGGGAAGAGGTGATAAGGAGATGAAAACAGTATTA